CACTTCATATTAAAAATATGCTTCCAAATCACTTTCATAAAAATCCAATGAAGCAAAACCAGTAAATTATCTTAAAACATTGATACTAAAGCACAACATTTTGCTGACTACATTACTGTTACCGACTAAAGGAGTTACTCCTTTTACTCCGCTAGCAGAGGTCTGTGCTGTGGTGCTGAGCATCCCACCTGCAATACCAACCAATGACGTGTGAGTGGAAGGTGGTAATAAATTGGTGCTTGAACAGATACTTTCAGCACCATAACATGCATCTCTGCACTTGAGCTAAAGAAGGGACTTCATTAACTGCCAGTAGTACCAGGCAGTTATCCTGTAGTGGATCAACCACTAGAGGGGGATGCAACATGTGCTATGCTATCATGAATTATGAAGTGTCTGTATTTTGAAGCTTTTCTATGCATACAGCTTATAAATCTATCACAAAAGTTCAACTATCCATGTTGCTCATTAGTGATTTTTTGTTAATTATAGGACGTGTATCCAGTTCTCACACATAGTAAAAAGTTCTTTTATGTCTTTATTTACAATCAAGATATACTGCTGGCTTTTCAAACACAAAAGAATGTTCTGTTTATCCCCTTGTGGTTTTATGATGACTTACTGTTGCTATTAAGAAAACAGTAACAGAATCCGGACTCTATATCCTGTTTGCTATTGTCATATTAGTAAAGAAACTGCATGTAACTACATTAAGGTCTTCAACACAAAAGAAAAAAAGCACCAATGTTTGAACGTAAGAAGTTGTCAAGGACAAGATTTATAAGAAAGTTACATGTTATGTACCAAACCACAAAAAAGACAATATTTTTTTTCTCATGCCAACACCTTCTGTTAAGCACATAATGTACATACTGCGTATTAAATACTCCCTTTTTGAAATAATACATTACATAATACTGTTTTAATTTTACTTTCTACTTCAAAGGCCATTGGAGGTTACCCTTTTAATGTTTATTTTATAATAAATACATCTAAGTTATATTCAAATATCTCTGTGTACACAGAATTTATAACATTTGTAAATTTGCCTCCAAAGTTTATCAAATATTTTCACTAATTAACAATCTACCACCTCCAAGGCAGACTATGCCACATTCCTTCTGGTGCAGATATGCCAGTGTGCTAACAGTGCTGAGGAAACTGGGGGAAATGGGAGAAAAACACTGCCCAGGGTAGACATGGGCAAAATTCTGCTCTTAGAGCAATATATTGTAGCAGATCTTACACAGGCAGAATTCCTAGTGACAAAACTGGAGTTCTGTGTACTTAGGGAGAAGCAAATATCTAAGTTCAAATCCCCAAGATGAAGACACATACTTTGTTAGTGGGATCCACAACTATTTGCTCGACAGCAAAGGAATGCAAGACTCAGGATTCGAGGTTGAGGTTTTCTGCCCCTGTCCATCTTCCTCACTATCCCCCTGGATCCTGCCAATTCCCACTCCATCCTATCTGTCTCCCCTGCACGCCTATCCTACAACACAGACTCCTGTCCATTCTTGGCTTTTGCCCATTTTCCCTGTTCCCCTCCCCACTCTGCTGTCCTCCCACTCCTCCATGGCTTTTTCTTTCTCCCCTATTTGTTCTTATTTCTCCCCTTCTTCTGTCCATCTCTGCTCCTGGCCCTCTCTCTCTTCCAGGTCCTGCTACTAATCCTTCAGGCTCCTACTGTTATCCACTCACTCTGTCTCTCTTCACTCTCCCCCTGTTCCTCACCCCTCTGTAGCTGAGCCAGGTATCCTCCTCACTGCCTGGCATCAGCAGGGTGAGCATTGAGAGCACAAGGCAATCAGTCCTCCAGCACTCAGTGATCGCTGGCAGCCAGGATGAGCAATTGCTGAGAAAGTCCTGCTCAGTCCCTAAGCCTTAGGATGGAACATGCTCAGTTGCTCTGTGTGGATGGTGCATTTGCAGTCAAGCCACCACACAGGAGCTGTGAAAGGATGGGACAAGCTCAGTGCAGATGGAATCTCCAGAGAATGTAGCTAACAACTTCGACTGACCATGTGTGAACAGAGATTCTTCAGAGGCTTATAACTTGGGCAAATGTTCACAGGGACATCAAAAGGCACATCCCTGACACCAGGGTGACCCCCCACCCCAAATTTCAGGTCTCTACTCCAAAGCATGGAGATGCTAGAGCTTCTCAAAAAAAACTATTATAAGAATTCTTTTAACATGGAGAAAATACATGTATTTTCCCCTATCCTCATTCTTGGAAGCAACAATCATTTTAGCTGAAACATTCCAAAAAAGTTCAGCCTGAGGCAGATATCACCACTGAAAATTTCAGCCTCAATTATGTAATTTTGGTAAAGTTATAAGCAAGTGAAAGTAGAATCTTATAATGGAAAGGTGTTTTGCAACTTTAACTATAGGTGTTGCTACCTGAACCTCCTATAAAAAACAGCTTAAACATATAGCTCCAGAAAGTTAGTCCCAACTAGCTGCTCTTAGCTATGAGAGAAAAAGAAAATAAATTTTGAAACTACTTAGAAATTTCAATTAGCAATGGGCATGTACAGTAGGTAATTTTTATAAATGTTGATATCTAGTAGCAGAGACAGAACAAACACTATTTACAAATCTAGAAGCAAACCCTGCTCACCTTAGTCATGTGACTAGTCATGAGTAAGGTGAGTTGGATTTGGTGCATGGATTCCCACTTAAATAAATGAAAAAGTATAATCATGCAACTGAGCTGGAGTTAGTATGAGCACTGCACTTTGTCATAACGCTCGTTTTCAGTCAGATTAATGGCAAGGTTCCACATGAATGGGAGTCAGAGTTTTAGAAAACCTGGGAGATGAAATACATGAACCAATAGAGATTCAAGAAATTCCATGCTAAAAGCTGCCATAATAAAAATTACATTTTCATACGTAGACAGCATTTTCATCTGATGCTCTCGAAGCACAATAGCCATCATGTCATGAGCTCACTTGGTTGTGCCTTGGTATTGTGCTAAATAAACATCATCTGTAAATGGTTCCCAGTCCAGAGAAAGCTCTTACACGTTTTATATGGAATAATACAAGGACATACTGAGGTATGTTAAGGATCCTGTTACAATCTTAAATAAACTTTGTTTTTTTTATTGCTCTCTCAACCCTAATGTTACTCCCCAAAGAGCATTAGTGAACTTGCAGTTAGTAGGTAGACTGTTCTTGTTCTAAATATAACAGTGTTATGATGTATGGTTATTCTCACCAGTAGACATAAAATGAGTGACATTAATCCCACCTTCTTATAGCGCCAGAAATCTAGACTTTTTAGGACACTACTAGTTAGATTGAAGCAACAGGAGGATTTCCCTGCATCCGATAGTGGAGTGATCACTCCCCATCATTCAGTTAACAAGACAGTACAGAATCTTTGTTAGTTAAATTTAAAAAAAAAAACCCAATGAAGTAAGCTTCTAGAACCATCCATCAAAACAAATCATTGATCTGATTTTAATTAGAAGCATAAGACAGTTCTCATTTAAGTTTTGAAATTTGTTGTACACCTTTACAATAACAATAGCACCACACTCTATACTCACCTGCTTTGCTGATACAAAATCTAGATTTTTACATACTGAACAGCTCAATACAGATTTCAGACCTCAGAATCTTCCTCAGTACTCTCACTTGCAACCTGAATTTTATCTTCTCATGAAGGTACTTAAAATAAATAAATAAATAACCAGCCTACTTGCAGTTAAAATGCAATCAAAAATTCAATTATAATATGCCTTGGATTTGTCTTGTAACCCTCATATTAAAATTTGTGTTTAGTATTAAAGGAATTAAAGTTAATTTCTTTATCAATGAGTTTTGGAGAACACAAATGAAGATGAAAAAATTAACTGGGAAATATAGATGCAGATAGTGTGCATTCACATTATTATACAACATAATCAGTAAATCTAGTACTAATGAGTCACAAGACTTAAATGTGAAGAATGTGTTTAGTGAATTATTGTCAATCAATGTCTATACACAAGGATAACAATAATCTTGAATGGCAACACACCTATTATTACAAATTTCTAACTAAGTACTTCATTACTTCAAAATGTCACTCCCAATTTATAGAGTAACAGATAAACATCTCTCTACTGTATACCTGGCTTGTGTCTACTTCTATGTAATTGAAACACTGACTGTTTCTGAAAACTTCATATTATCACTTACACATCATTTTGTTTCAAATGGTGATTCAATGGCACTTTACGAGTCTGTTTGTTCTAAGGCAGGGGTCAGCAACCTTTCAGAAGTGGTGTGCCAAGTCTTCATTTATTCACTCTGGTTTAAGGTTTCACGTGCCAGTCATACATTTTAACGTTTTTAGAAGGTCTCTTTCTATAAGTCTTTAATATATAACTAAACTATTGTTGTATGTAAAGTAAATAAGGTTTTTAAAATGTTTAAGAAGCTTAATTTAAAATTAAATTAAAATGCAGAGCCCCCCTGGACCAGTAGCCAGGATCCAGGCAGTGTGAGTGCCACTGAAAATCAGCTCGCGTGCGTGCCATAGGTTGCCTATCCCTGTTCTAAGGCTTCCTTTTAAGCTGAGTACTTTATTCCTTCTATATATAAGCATTTAAAAAATGTCAAACTATTTTTGTTTTCTACCTGTGACTTTAAAGATAGGCATGGGGAGTGTTTGTAGTTGTCATTTCCTGGTATGATCGTATTAACCTAGTATAATACTATTGGAAATGTAAACTATTACTCATAACCAATATTCTGAAAAAGAAAACAAAGACCCTGAAAGTGACTAATAAAGCCAATATGTAACAAATTGCACTGATCTTTTGAAGGAACCAACTAAATACATAAAGGAGACTTACTATTTTCCCCTCCCTGATGGAAGGATGTGGATTAAAACACAAAGTAACAAACTTTACTGGCACAAAAAGTCTTTTGTTTACCTTTATATTCCCCATCATCCTCGAAATCTGTTAGGAGTCTGCACTAACTGTCAACTCTCACCTCATCCTTTATGTCTTCTTGCTGCTGAGCACTGAAGATCTCCATTGCAGCCATCAGTCTCATCATTAGTTCATCCACTGTTGTGTTACCTAGCAACAAAGGAAGATAGATGAACTTCATACTATAAAAGTTATTAAAAATGGAAAGTCATTCTAGAATTAATCCATAAGGAATAACTAGTGTTTGAAAAATGGGCGATTAGAAAATACTAATATCTCATTAGAATATTTTTAATTTGCCTTTTTGTTTAAAAAATTTAAAATGTTCCACCAGCAAATCCTAACAAGTGCAAATGTAGTCTGAATTTTTAAGTGGTACAAATTAGAGTATTTGTTTTTGTACTGATTGGTGGAATCTCTAACTTAGTTTTATTGATAATTTTTATCACTTATGTCAGAGAAAAGAATGATGTGTGAGGAATCAATGACTTTTTTTTAGCTTTTTGCAACTACTATATATCACTGTCTACCCAGGTAGATCTAATCTTAGGTCACATGGGATAGGACATTACTATTAAGACTCTATTGGTGGCTAGGTTAAAAATAAAGGAGTTAAATCTGGAAAAAGAGCATTCTGAACCCACACAAACAATTCAACTCAACATTAAACTCAAAATCTATTTTGTTTTCACTGATAAATTTTATTTCTCCTACAGCATATCTATTCCAGACTGCATAGCTCTGGACAGGGAAGTCCTACATCTATGCACAAAACAAATCCAGCACAGGCCCTGGCAGTGAATAGTTCCCCATGCTGTCTTAGCAATGTGTGTCAATCTTCTTCAATAGGGGTTGAAAGGTCAGTTCAGTCTCCTACCATGACCCACTTAATCTTTGTTTTCTCTCCTGTGACTGCTAACCAGAGTGCCAACTAGTGCCACCTGTGAGGGTGATTTTGGTACGCGACCACTTGTCCATTAGGATTAGGCAAAGACTGTAAAGTCATCTAACATGAACAACTACACAGCCTTCAGAGGAGAATACATTTTAGTTACTGTCAACATGAGCTAGATTTGAACTAGTAACCGGAGGTAAAATTTTCAAGAATGCCTAAGACACTCAGGAGCTGAATTCCCATTTTCCAAAAACCGACTTAGGCCTTTAGGAGCATAAGGCTTATTGAAAGTCATTAAAACTTAGCCTCTCATGTGCCTTCATCATTTCTGAAAAGGTGCTTTTGAAAATTTACTCCTAGTCTAGTTTTGAAAGGTTTTCTATATTTCATTAGTAGAATTGTCTACTCCCCAAACAGAAACAATTGTATTTGGTCTGCGACACATGCATATGACTTCATAGGGCTCTATGCATTTGATGATACAATCCTAAAAGGCATTCATGTTGCATTTCTCTAGAAAACATAAAACACAGCAACATTTAATTTATGTGTCAATTTTTTGCTATAGTTTCAGTCCCACAATAAAAGGATGCATTTACTGGGGTAGATCACCATCTTTAAATGTAAGGAGCTAGTACCAGAAATCCCCACACAATGAAATATACATCCCAGAGACTGAACTGAACTAATTTGGAATATTTTATAACAGTCCTTAGACTCTGATTCAGCAAGATACTCACGCACATGCCTAACTTTCAGCAAACAACCACGATTGACTTCAATGGGATAACTCACATGCTAAAAGTCACACACGTGTTTAAGTACCTGGATGAAGTGGAGGCTATAAACCAGAGTAAATAATATAGTTATTTAATTATTTGTACAGAATAAGCAGATTTAGTAGAGCACAGAAATATTTAACCATGCATTGTCCTTAGAGGAGATAAACTCTGTGGCAGTTGGTGGAAAACGTAGATTTGGAAGTAGCCTGTTTAGATTTATTAAAAGGGAAAGTACATGCATAAATAAAAAGTAACTCTTCTGGCCAACTGATGGAAGGAGCACTGGTGATTCCTCCAGAGGAACTATCCATCTGTCCACTCTACAGAAGGAAAGGGCAATGAGAGAAGCCAATGATTGCAACAACAAACAGCTTTTCCTTCTCTAAGGAGGGGACCTGAGGCTGAGACTCTCCCAAGAAAATCCAAGGGGACTAGAATGAACGGAGCTAGGTATAAGAAACAAAGAAATGAGCACAGAACTTCATAAAGGCAAACTTAAGGGTAAAGCAAAACGACGGGATGGAAGGAATTCTGCCTCTTTGATGTATTTTAATTTGCAATTATTGAAGAACTGCAGCCTAAGAGCACCATCCAAACAATGCTTTCTCACCCGAATAGTGTCAATGAAGTCACTGGGACTACTTAAATAAGAACGAACTACTCAGGTAAGCAGCACAATCTCTCATTTATTTGGACATTATATTAGCAACTTTGAGTCTGTTGAGGGTCTCCATTCTATAGTCAGATCTATGCAGGCAGGCTCATGCCCAAATGGAATCCCACTAAAGTCAACATGCTCCACATGATCACAATGGACCAATCACACCGATCTGATTGCAGGATTGGGGCCAAAATTAGCTCATACTAAATGATGGGGTTAATCGCAGCTTGGTGCTCAGCACTTACAAAAACCAATGCAGCTTCCTACATATGAAAACTGATGAGTTTCCTACATATGGATTTAGGAGCCTATATTTAGCTCCTATTTTAGAAATCTTGGCCCAGACAGTTTAATATTAATGCAGTTCTCTATCTGAAAATATATTAAACCATTATTTTATTACAATTATGACAATTCAATCCTTTAGTGTTATGTAACATAGCATAGTTATGTACAATGGCCATTTATCTTTCTGTAATGCAGTTTTTGTTCTGAAACAGGTTAATAATAAAAATTTTAAAAATCTCATGACGAAGACTAAGAATTAATAACAAAGAGGTCTTCTGACAGTTTCAATACCCATATAAGAAATAGGTCCCCACCATAAAGGAACAATTATACCTTGTATTACATTCAACACCTCATTAGACGATCGTTTTCCCATAATAATAAGGAAAAGTGGAAACTGATCCGTCTTCTGAGTTCGAATTGTTTGGGCTACAACACTCCCAAAATGTCTAGTGCACATTGTCAGAAACCTAAAAAGTATAGAAAAACAATATAAGTTTACATTGTAGAGTTTCTTTAAGTTACAGTGGGTTTTTTAGAAAAGAATTCAGCTAATACAAATCTCTTCCTTAAAGAAATATTAAAATTTGACAGTTTACTTCAGAGCTATATACTGCTTAAAACCTGGGCTGCTGTGTTCAGTTGTGGATTTCCTCCCCTCAAAAATTTATCACAAAAAACACATTTTCAAAGATGATAGACTCCAGATGGGAGGCATTATAATAAACTTTAACTGGCAATGACAGTGACTTATTTGATGGAGAATTCCGTTTTTCTGTTCAGGATCTAGCAAACTGTGCTCTGAACAATACAAGACTAGAAAATATTCAATAAACCAATTTTCAAAGATGACAGATTTTTTTAAAATAAATGAATAAGGACATTACTTAAACAATGAAAAAAGTATAAAATTACTATTATTCATACAAGAATCATAATTTAACAATGAAAACATTAAAACATTAATCGGTCATAAAATTAAAAAAACTGTACTTTAGAATTGTATTTTCTTTCAGAGTAGTAGCCCCTTCAGTTTCATACTTAGCAGTGTGGTCTAAAAACAATAATTCTACGCTTTTGACCAAAAAAAGCGCTCAGATATTAGCATACAGAAGTCTAGCATTAGTATTCTTAACACGATCTTGAATAAATGAAAAAACTGATAAAGCTTTTCTCTTCCATTAGAGGACTGTTTGAAATTAGCATTTCTTTCAAGAGAAAAGGGTAGCTTATGATATGTTTTCAGATCTGATGGTAAAAAGTAAATGTCATAATAATAATGAATTATGAAAGACCAAATGCAAATATAGAATGCTTTAATAAGATCCAATTTAATAAAGTCTGTAAAAATAATGGACTTTTAATAACACAGGTCACAAAAGGCAAAACAGTGGAAAATCTGAGGACTAGCCACTGGTACAGGCTTATTAATTCTTAATTATGTTCATGAAAGGCAACTTAAATCGTGTGTTTTCTTATGCCTTATGATAATATTTTAGGTAACAACTGCTCTGAAATGTATGCTCTAACTGATGAGCAAAGTCCTGTTGTCACATGCATTAGAAGGCAAATCTATTTGAAAAGACAAACTGCATTAAAATGTCATGTGCTCAGAATCATTTGATATCAAAATCCAAAACAGAATCAAAACACAAGTTTTAAATCAGTATACTTCTGGCTAATAAAATGGCTCAGAAATTGGGCTGAAAATTGAAAAAGTCCATTATTGTAAAAGTGGATTTGGAGTTGAAAGTGCCCAAAGTGTGTGCGTGTGTGTGGGGGGGAAATAGAGCCAACTTCTGCTACAACATAATCTTAACATGGAGAAAGGACACCCTTTAGTTTGGCAACAATAAGCAGGGCGTGGCTATTAAAAACATTTCAAAGCCATAAAATGAATTTATGAAATTTTTCCATTGCCTCCTTTGTTATCCAGGTTTACTAGATTTTTGCAGTCCAGAACCATTATGGGTGATAGAAAACCTGCTCATTTGAAAACCTGTTAAAGTTATGAGAATATACCATGACAAGCATACTCCCAGACATGAAAAGTGCTCTTATTCTTTTCATGCTACTAGATTGCATAGGTGTCACAGAGTAGCTGCCCTTTACATTACGAGCCAAGTGAAGTCCCCTGAACAGTACCATTTCAGAATGCTGACATACTCTGGAAATCTGGAATATTGCACTGAATTCTGAGTACCATCTTACCAAAATGATATTCACTAACTGAAAGAAGATTGGTTAAGAGCAATACAAACGATCAAGGAACTGATTTATTAGAAATAACTAACAAGCTAAAGACACCCAGTTTAGCTAAGCTACAATAAAAGGGGACCTTATAACAGCCTACACATACATACACTTCAAGTAAAGAGACCAGTTTTAAGTGTGGAACACTTGGGATGAAATCTTGGATCCACTGACGTCAATGGCAATACGCCATGGGCAAACTGACTTCAGCAAGGCCAGGATTTCAGCCCCAGGGTATAGCTAGAAGTAATGAAATGAAACTAAGAAAATGAAAATTTGAGGATGTATAACAAGGAAAATCCCCAGTCATTGACATGTATTAAGACTGTTGAACAGTCTCCCAAGAAGTGGTAGAAGTCTCATTGCACAGGACCTACAATTTTACTGGACAAAACCGTAGAAAGACAGAAGATAAACAAAACTAGGAGGGAGTTAGACTGCACGACTTAATAGGTCTTTTACACTCTTAAACCAACATACACACACAAAACACATATAAAATATAAAACTCTGGTCATTTTCTCATTCAGTTCTGCAATGCAATGATTATGAAGAGGATTGTGTGTACACAGGCTGTATTCTTTCACCAAAATATCACACAACAAACTCATTAAGCATACCATGCTACCAAGCAGTTATCAGTACTACTTTCATACTTCTGAGAGAATTAATAGTGGCATGGAGAAAAACAAGTGTTTTATTCTCTCTCTCTCTCTGTCTCTCACAAGGGGATTTCTCATTCTCATCTAGATAAAAGTGTGCCAGTTCTTCCAGTGGATCGCCAAAGCTGCCAACAGAACTCACATTACAAATACCTGTGGAGCTCATCAAAGAACCAGATGTCACTACTGGAAGACTTGTTTTCCACAACAAGCTGGATTACTGTGATCTCCAACCAAAAGTGGAAATGGAGGAGTACTGGCAGAAAGGGAGGGTAAATGGCACCCTACTAGTTCCTTTGTTTTTTAATTATAAAAATATTTAGTGCGTACGTGGGGGAGATGATTTAGAGTGGGGTGGAGAAGTATGAGAAAGGCCAAGATTCTTTGGGGGGGGGGAATTCTATAGGAAAAAAAAAACCACTCCTGCAAGAAAGTTACAAAAATAAACTGCATAAAAAATAATTTAGTATTAAAGCAGTAGCACATTCTCCACTTCTCCTGGGAACTTTGAGTAACTAAATCAGAACGTATTAAAGCTGGGAAATAAACACATAGGCACTGACCACAGTTTCGTAAAAACAAATGCAAAACCAAAAACTGAAACAGGTTATGAAGATTTCTTATCTCAATTCTTCTATGTGAAATTGTCTGGAAAGGGAATAGGATTATTAGACATATCATATCCATCAATTAAAATCTACCAGCAGTGAAATATCGTTATCTGGGTGAAATAAAGGCATAGCTTTTGAAGGGCTGCTGATGGTACAGAATGCACACACAGACACACTCCCACCCATTCCAAATAATACTAACAAGGTGTTCCAGTTCCCTCATAAATATTCTACGTGTATGGGTCTCAAAGTAAATCAGGATTATATTTCCTCATACAAGAGAATAAAAGGCCACAGGAAATAGTTGACTACTTGAATAAAATCACTGCAAGAACAGCTGATGTCACATGACAAGCCACAAAAACCCTCTGTAATCTCTTGCAATTTTATCATGAATTAGGCAATATTTGATGTTTCTTTTAAATCTTCAGCTTCTAAATCCTGTGATTGAGAAAACCTCAACTTTCATTTAAATTTTTTTTTCTGGGCCTTGTCGTTGCTGAGACAAGCATGAAAACATGAACTGTAATGGCTCAGAAGCAAATAAAAAGAATCCAAATTTTATTGTTTTTAATAGCTCATGATTTTTAAGACAAGTTCATGATTTTTGGTGGCATGATTTTTGCATGCTTGGGGATGGCAATACTCTATATTTTGACACTGTGCCTGGTTTTAAAATCCTAATTTTCCCTAATTCCTTATACTGCTTTATATTTGAAAAGATTCTATAGGTCACAGTTTTGGGGAGAAAAAAAATCTAACATCTTAATATTAGGATATTGCATTCAGAAGAGTCGTTTCCAAAGCTAAACATCTAGGCCATTTTCATATTTGCCTCACCCCACCCCATAACAGGCACAAAAACACTTCAGAAGCAGCATTACTGGGAAAGCTCGTGAAAGGAGCTTGAGTAATCCCAGAGAAGAAGCAGTATATAAGGTCATGAGTGTACGCACAGACACATACTTCACGCTACCTGACTCCTAACCCAAGTCCCAGAGCAGCAGAGGACCTGTGGTGAGTGAACACTTACTTGAGATCTGCAAAACAGTGTCAGAATAGACTTTGTGCAAACTGTATGTACAAAGGTAAGTGAGGGGTAGGGCCTGGCTCCTTACATAAAACAAGTCAAAAATGAAACTATCACCAGGAAAATGAAAAAAATAAAGACATCATTAGTCTTAGTCACTCACAAAAGTTCTTTTGCTAATTTTGGGACCACAGTTAAAAACAATCACCAGTCCCAGAGATGGACTCATCAGTGGTGCAGGACAGGATGCGATAAGCATGACATGAATATTTTTGTTTAACAGCACAGATTTCCAAGTTTTAATGCCATTCAAAAACACAGAGGAGGAGACAAATGCAGGATTTAAAAAATAGAAAAAGAAAAAAAAAACCCAAATACAATGAGTACAAATGTATCTTTTTTGTTACTAAGAAAGGACTGGTATGTTGTGATCACCGTTTACCATGCTGACCAGTATTGTCTCATTACTTCCTTAGGCTCCCCCATATGTTGCTGTATTCACCCGTTTTTGTCCTATACTTAGCTTGCAAGCATTTGAGGGCAAGAAGTGTCTTTTTGTTTTCTGTGTTTGTACAGTGCCTAGCACAACGGGGCCCTGATCCACAGCTGAGGCCCCTAGGTGCTACCACAATAGAAATAACAACGAACAGTGGTATGTAAAATCAAAAACCACAATGTCAAATACTATAAAGGTTTGACAGTGTTCCTATAATACTTCAATTTAAACAACATGGTAACAACAGAGAGACATCTCAATTCTTCTTGTAAAGAGGTTTTGGTGGATTAGGGATTGAAACTGCAAATCACATCTAATCGTGCCACCATTTTTGCTCTGTAACTTGAGAAGGGCTTCAGCATTCATAGTATGGATGGCTTGGTCACAGCAATCAACCGCCATTTTCTTTCTGCTGGAT